ATATGTAGTATCAAAGCAATTGGACTTGCGGTTTTTAACAAGAAGTCGAAAATATCACTTTTTACCAAAAATGACAAAAATATTCACCAAAATTAGAGAATTAAAGATATCATTACAAAATGAACAAATCTGAGAGAGGTCCACATGTAGTACCTATATATGTAGTATCAAAGCAATTGGACTTGCGGTTTTTAACAAGAAGTCGAAAATATCACTTTTTACCAAAAATGACAAAAATATTCACCAAAATTAGAGAATTAAAGATATCATTACAAAATGAACAAATCTGAGAGAGGTCCACATGTAGTACCTATATATGTAATATCAAAGCAATTGCACTTGCGGTTTTTAACAAGAAGTCGAAAATATCACTTTTTACCAAAAATGACAAAAATATTCACTAAAATTAGAGAATTGAAGATATCAACATGAAATGAACAAACCTAAGAGAGGTCTACCCAAGGTACATATACACCTAGTATCAAAGCATTCAGGCTTGTAGTTTTCAAGAAGTCGAAAAAGTAAAACATTGACACGGACGACGGACGACGACGGACAATCACTCATATGATAAGCTCTGCTAGACAAAGTCGACAGCGGAGCTAATAAATGTCAGTGCATACAATATTTATTAATTTGCAGCCTCCATGGACAAGTTCACGGCCTCTAATATTGCGTTTGTTGTGAACTGAACTTTAAATCTCATCAGGATTTCCACATGAAGTTACACAGATAGAAAAAAAATGCAATATTAAGACAAGGAGGAATAATGCTTATTTGTCAAGGCGATATACTAAATTCTCTTATTTTGGGGGTATTTTTGTGAGTGTTCATGTATGCATGTATGCATGTATACATTAAAATTATCAAAACTTAAAATGTAATCATAGTAAAAATGTAAAGTAAACAAAATTATCGAATGATTTTGGATCCGTTGAAAAAGTAGCCGAAATGCTGTGACATAGTCTAATTGGTGGTGGGAATTGCCAAGCCAGTTTTTTTTTTTTTTTTTTATAAAACAAGCTGGTTGGCGATCCGCTCCGCTCAAAAACAAGCAACATGTTTTTGGCTGTTGCAATGGTAGGACATGAACGTGAAGCTAACGTCGGTTTATAACTAAAACCGGGCCCCCGTACACTAAGCTCACAAAAAAACGTTCAGTCTTTTAGACGTCACTTTATTTTATTACTAGGATGTATTCTGCTGTTAAATTCATTCATAGTTCAAAGTTGCGTTGTGATTACCACAGGGAGCCCAGGAACTATAATCAACTGTTCGCAGTCCATATGAGTGGGGGGGGGGTATAGGCTGGTATCTAGTGTAAGAAATAGACAAGGGATGAAGGCTCCAGTCAGCTCATATTGTTTTAAACTGGAAAAAACAGACGAATAGAATGAAAAATAAAATCTATAAACAATACCAGCTTGAAGAATATTAGTTGCTCTTTCAAATTTCGCCAAAGTCTTACCTATATTTTACCTATATCTGCAGAATAAATCAAGAAAACTACACAATGGCAATCCTAGCGAAGCGGATCGCCAATGAACAAAAATGTTCGTAAATATTACTGACCGCAAAAGACGCTCATCGCGAAGTGACTTGTTGTGTAATAAAAAGACTTTGGTTGTCATGACAGTTTTTAGGGAAGTCACGAGTTGCCATAAATTTGTAAAAGAACCAAACTGAACTGCAGTTGGCTATTTTCTACTTCTAGTGGAAACCTAGTTCTTAGTTTTACCTTCCACATCTTAATGAAGTCATAAAAAATCATCATCACTGCATCTCATTAATAATTATCCAAAGTCATTACTAGTATGACCTGTTGAAAGAAAATAATCTTGCAAATTTATACTCATGTACATATGTACTTTAATTTTACCGTACATACTGTAATTATGTGTGTCAATGCTTAGAATTTAGTAGAAAAAATGAAAAATTAATTTTATAGAATGAAATGTCCACACATTGATTTTAAGAAACAAATAACCAGGAAAGTTTTCCACTTTTTTTTTCTGGGTCTTATGTTCTATTTTTAATTGTCTTCTCAGGAGGGCATCTTTGAATATGGAAAACCAATCGGTGACATCATTTCGGCATGATGGCGACTCGCTGACCTCTCACGTGTATGCAACAAGTATTTCAAAGTCTTCCACTGTCAACCAAACTACCAAACAGCGAGAAGTTTATGTGACAAGCATTCCAGCCTCTTCCACTCAGAACAAAGCTGGGGCTGTTTATGATACAGTGTATGATGCAGAAGAAGAGAGAGAAGAACCACAAAATGTAACTCACCAGACAACTGAACACAGTGTTCAACAGTTGCTGGAGATATCGTCATCAACAGTTACCCGTGAGGTGAGTTATAAAAACGTACCCCGGCCTCCTCCTCCACAGATACACTCAGAAGAACATTCCGTTCAATTGGACCTCGCTCCCCCTACCCCCGTGTCAGAGGAGGAGGTTGGAGCTTACCAGAATATATCAGCAACTCGTAAGAAATTCATGAATGAGCAAGTGCAAGAACAGCGAAAGTCACTGACCCCCGAGATTGAATACTCAGTCCCGCCTTCAGAGCTGAGAAAAAGATTTGAGAGCAAATCTGAGAATGATAAAACTGTGAACAGAACTTCATATCAGCCAGACATTCAACATGGGGTGTCACCAGCTGATGTAAGAGCCAAATTTGACAGCAAGGAGGTGACGCTACGTGAAGCTACACGACCAGAACCGCCAAAGAGGGATCCAAAAACCAGACTCAGTTCCACCCTGGACGATGTTGTCATAGCAACCAAACATGCATCACAGATGAAGAATTATGCAGATCCATCTCAGTTGCCAGCAGCTGATTACGACTACCCTCCCCCTGACTACCCCTCTTCTTCTTCTCAATGGAAATTTGTCCAGCACCCTTCAATGCTTAAAGCTGTCAATATCAAACGAATCCCTGCTCCTATGGATGGTGATATTTACGCCAGTATTCCTGATAGGTTATATTCATCGGATATTCCTTCTCCCCCTCCCTGTGCACCTCCTCCCCCTCCATGTCCACCTTCTCCTGTACCTAAAGATGGCAACATTTTTATCCAGATTCCTGGTGCTCTTTCAAACTCTCCTGATGTTCCACTCACATCAGCAGACTCTATACCGCCACCGCCATCACAATCAATACCACTACCCCCTCCTCTGCCTCCGCCAAATCTGCCACCAGGGCAGGGCCCACCACCTTACAGTGGCTATCCAAAGATGCAAGCTGATGCTGTTCCTCCTGCCTCTGTATCATCATTGAATGCAGCACCTACGATGCCAGGTGGTTTATTAGCTGGACTGTCTCTGGTTACGTTGAAGAAAGCTGACAAACCTGGTAAGTTGACAGTATTTGCATGCTATTGTACATCATGAATATTATAGTAGATTTCACATAGAGATTAATATTTGTTCGTCACATGACTGTGCTGCATATCATTCATCTTTGTGACATTTATCATGAAGTACCGATATGGAACGATAAACGTTATCTTATGCGTGATTGAACAGCCCTGTTTTTCTCACAACGATAGCAGACCGAATAATTGGAGGGTATTTGCGGCTAATACTGAAGATATTGCAAGTAGTATTGCAAGAAATTGTATTATTTAAATAGTGAATGTGTTTGAATCCTTGCACATAAAATTAGAAAGTTGTGCAACCTGAGTGATCAAATTATCCAGTTTTCTTCCTGCTGCTTCTTTCTCGCAGTTGGATCCAAACTGTTACCGGGAGATGATATCAAAAATGCCCTAATGAGGGAAATCATGCAGGGTGTGAGATTACGCCGTAGTCAAGGACCGAGATTCGATGAAATTCACGGCCCAGGTAAGATTCAATAATGGTGGTGTATATATATTTAGCTACATCAAATTATATTCTAATGTTGATTTCATTGATTACATTTTAAATATCATACATACCCACATAATAATGTAAATGTTTTGAAAAAAAAGATGTACTGATGAGTTCTGATTTACATATGCATCAGAAATTCCCATTAACATATTTGATACAGAACTAAAGCTGGAACACTGCAATCTCTGCATAAAATGTTTATTTTGATGATGAAAAGTATATAGTAACCCCCTAATCCTCTGTGTGGTATTAAAAGTAGCTGGACAGCTAGGGAAGCCAATACTTAGAGCTTGAGTCTTGTTTATCTGAACTGTTGTTTTAAAAATTCTCATTTTCCCCATTCAGAGCTGTGCAGCAGCAGCAGTGATGGAGACACCGATACATCTAGTATGGGGAAAACTGATGATGAAACATCTGACACATCGGACTATGTCAGTGGATTCACACTGACAACGCCGGAAGTTACCCCAACATCAACAGTGAAAAGATATCCACCAGTTGTACCCAAAAAACCAAAATCTTCTACCAGTCCTGCTTTTTCAACGGCAAGCCAATCGTCAACGCCATATTCCACGTTGAGTACATCGTCATCTGCTACACAGTCTACAGTGCCAAGTGTGACATCATCAGCATCATCAACTCTTTCTAAACCATTTGAAATAAGCGACAACATACCAGCCTGGAAGAAGGCATTATTTAAACGTAGAAACGAAGAATCTGAGGTAAGATACAAAGTTTTTGGATAATCATAAAATTCTTAAAGATTTGATTTATATTTTGGGGTTAAATATATCTAATTTGATCAACATTCATTTGCCCATCTCTTACAGAACAAATATTTTATTTCTATTCACACTTTTATACAGGGCCTAATTTAATTATACTGTAAAACCATTTATTTTCACTGATATTTAATTTCAATAACTACCTATCATTGGCCTTCCAGCTATTGAAATTTGCATCCCATCCCTGTTTATAACCATATGTTTATAACACTTGCCTTTTATTTACTCTTTATTCAGAGGAACTTGATATACAGAGAGGTAAAAACAATAAAAACATTTATTTAGCCCCCATTTTCCTTTCAATGTATATTTTATTTTGTATTATATGTATATTTCACTTGTTGGTTAATATATAATATAAAGATGTGATTGCAGCACTGGGCGAACTCTAGAGGGCATGCTTCAATACTAACCGAAATATTCATATCCTCGGAGCGGACATCCGGGCATTTTCACCGCTTGACAACCATCGCGGTGAAAACAAAGGCCGAAAACTCTCAGAAAACGGTACTTTGGAATGGTTGTTGAGACTCCCCTGAACAGTGTAACAAGATTAGCCCTGTGTGTGTAACATATATTAATTTGGTTGTTCAGGATTACTTCAAAGTTGAGTTTGTATTGTTTTCTCGAATTTTCACCGGCTCAACTGGCGTTCCACAGCAGGGCGCACATAGCCCATAGAAATACATGTACAGTGGTGCGCGTCTTAGCAATGTGGAACGTCTTGTGACGTTGCTCCGCCCCCGAGGATTGTTTGTATTCAGGGGTTACAGATGGAGTGCATGGTTAAATATAAAGGAGTTTCAGAATAAATTTTTAAATTATGTATAATTAAATAAATTAGAAATATTGTAAAATGTTATAAAAATGATAAATTGGTGATGGTATAGTTTTACCAGTGGTTTGTGTAGTGTAGTTAAAATGAATGCATTAGTTTAGATTATGTTATCGATATTCTAATTGGTTAATATTATTCAGTTGTCAGGTTTTCCAACCCTTTACAACCAATCAGAAAGTAGGTTATAGATTGATAGTGTAAACTGTTGTCCGAGTATTATGTTATGTTCAACGTTAATAGTAAATCAATTTCTTTGTTGTCATAGCAACAATTACAAGCTGAACTTCGCAAAAAGGAAATGGAGGATTCCAAATGGGAAGGTGTTCCCGAATGGAAAAAAAGCCTGTTGATTGAGAAAGAGAGGAAGCAAAAAATGTTGAACGCTCCGCTCGAAGCAGAGCGACAAAGACAAGCCGAGGAAGTGGCCAAGTTACAATCCATGCCAACGTGGAAGAGAAAAATCATCATTAAAAAAATGATGTGAATATCAGTTTGTTTTTTTAATTTATCTTTTTTTTGTAAACCGAATTTGCATTGCTTTATTTATTTATTTATTTTCATGTAAAATTTATCGAAAAAAAAGACCGATTTATGTTGAACTATCTTGACGATGGTCTTCAATGTCTGTCACATTACATACAGGTAGCTGGATACGATTTGTACAGATTGTCAGATTTTCTTGACTTTTATAAAGGAAGTTATGTTTCATTCACAGATTTTACAAATAAAGCTCTGGGAATTCTGAGGAAGCTTAATTATCTTAATACATATATATTATTAATTGTAATCTCAGTTCGTTTTTTTTATTGTAATTGTATTGTATTTTAAAGTAGATTTAATGAAAAGAGCAGCTTTTTATTAGATGATGATGTCATACAGCAGTCTCATTTATTTACAGTTCAAAACCCTTTCACAAATACAGCGAATCTCTTAGTGAATCATTAAGATTTTGTTAATATTTTTGCTGTAGGATATTAACTGTGAAACTAATAATTAATATTACCTGATATATTACACTGTGCCTTCAGTATACTTAAAAATCTGCTTTCAAATTGATAATATAGAGGGTGCCATCTCTTGTTCGTTGACACTTTAAAAATGATGAGCGCCCTCTAGAGTTATGCACAGGATGTGGTATAATGCATTTGCCACTCTTTATATTGCAAAATGATTAATTGTAATATATTCTACAAATTAAAATAATATGTATTTTTTTTTTTTGTAATACGAATGATGTTTTAAATGTCACAAAGAATAATTGTTAAATTTACTAAAAAAAATATTGTAGCAAGTGCCTGTGTAAATTCCATGATAGGAAGGGAGTTCTCATAACATGGCTGCTTCAGCTGGTTTTTATCAAAATTTATAGTAGATATTTTTGGCTGTTGCCTCAAGTGATGCCGGGGAACAATATACCAGAATGTCACACATTCCCTCCTTCTGTGTAATTTTATAAATATTTTGTTAACAAATCTGCATATTAAAATCACTGTGGTGATCAGAAGTACACCAACCCCTTAAAATGACGCTGGTCATCACGCAGCTTATGTTTGAGTTTCTTGTAAACAAACAATGTATTTTAGATGATTGTATACATACAAGAGCCCATATCGAACAAGATGTTGGCATGACAACGTGGCCCTTTAACATACGTTGTCCACACGGGAATGTAGTCTATATTGATGGTCTGGTTTTTAATGCAGATTTATTTTAATTGAGACACAGAGGATAGAAAAACATTTTCTGCCATTTTGGTTAGTCAGAATTTGTACATGACACGTGATTGGTCAGTTTTACATGGATGCTAGGTTTATAAGTGCCTTGTGATTGGTTGGTTGAATAATTAAATGTAGTTTTAATATATTTATATAAAAAAAACAAAAAATTCACAATTTACATTAATTTTAGTTTCAGCATTTGTCAGTATTTGTTTTAGGGAAATTTAATCACAATTAAATTAAGAGATCACAATTAAACGTGATCTGCAATTAATCTCACCTCATTTACATACAGATTTATTTCACAATGACTAAAATAATTAGCTTTAGAAATTCAATCAGTATTACTTTACCAAATGTTAGTGCAACATTCATTGACATTCTTGTAATGTTTTGTTTATTTAGTTTTGTTTTATCCTCAGTTTTGCTATATTGGGCATTAAAACGGTATCGCAATAGATCATTTGCAGGCTTCTGGTGTACACGATTTTCTGTCTCGTTTTGTCGCATCTCAACAGCTCATTGTTTCAAAATCATAAACTCACGCATGCACAAAATATGCATTTGCTTTTGGGCTTAAATTTTACATTTTCCTGTCAAGTGGTAATATTTGGAAGAATATTCTATTAATTATATTGTGACTATAAACAGAAATGTCAAATTTGATGAAGTACTCTGACAATAGGAAACCTGCAAATGGCTTACGTTTAAGTACATATGTATCATATTTTTATTTTGTTTTCAACACTTCCTCTCCTCAAGTTATCTTGCATTTACAATACAGGTATTCAACAAATAGCTTTATATTTTCATTCCTCCCAACTCTGCATGGACCAATCCTTGAATTGCTGGGAAAGGGGCACTCTAGCTTTAATATACTGAAAGTTAATTTAACTTTTTTAATTATGAATTTTTGAAGGTTGGAAAAAATCACTGACATTTTTGAAGCAATTTTTGAGAAGTTCAGGCTGGTACTTTACAGTACGTCTTTTGTGCATCACATTGAGTCACACATTTTTTACATTCATGTTTATATTCTGGTCGCTTATTAATTGCTTTCCAATGAAATACAATCTAAAAATAGTTCTAAATGAAATAATCAAAATGTTATGGATGAGCCAGTTTGATCACGTTAACTTTGTGCAACACAAAGGTGTGCAATAAGTTAGACAGAAGCATTTCTGAACTTTGGGATAATTGTGATTATTTCTGGGAGGCAGTGTACAGTCCTATGAGGATACCAAAATGTATACACGGAGACAGTATATGGTGAGAGTATAGACCAACTTGCAGCGGAGGTCGATGCGATCACGTACTTTTTGAGTGCATACTTTTCGGTATCCTCGTAATAACCTTAATATTATACTTTTTCTTTGAAGAATACATCATGGGAATGCCGAAATCCAAATAATTTAGTACAGATTGAGTGGACTTCTTTGTATGGGGTCCTGTCAAGTTTGTTTTTATTATTAGAGGATATAATCGTTTCATATTTGGAATTCACATTTCCTAATATGGTAGGATGAAAATACTCAGTGCAATACCGCAAAATTATGGCACACTGTAACTTATGGAGTTACAGTGACAGATGTATAATAATACAAAGAATGTTGAAATAGTCATATGCAATTTTAGCTAATTTGACTCAATGCATGAACTAACAAAATCCTAATTCAGTAACAAATATCTTATTGTTGTGAGACTATATTTTATATTAGTGACATCTTGAAATAACAAAATTACAAATTAGCTAAAATAACCTGCTAGCTATAGACACTATAGGCAGGTCTTATAGAGCGAATGCACCTTTTTATACTTCACCCCTCCACTTCTCCATTAATTTATACCCTTATCACTCTTTTTGAAAAACACTTCATACAAATATTTATTTTTTCAGGTTATTTTCTAACTAAAAATCGGCAAATGATGCTTTTTTATGGAGTAAAGTTTTGTGGCTAATATTTATATACAGACAAGGTGATTGGTTTATTGTGTAAACTCATGAATTTATTTGTAATAATGACTTAATTGTATATTTTGAACTGTATACAGATTGAATAAATATGTTTTTTACTAATTTAATTTGTACTAGTTTATTGTTTTGTATAAATCAAAATTAATCCATGTTTATGACTTTCTGAACTTGTTTTTTTCATTTTCAATTTTCTAATTGGTTCAATCTTCTGTGAAACGACAGAATGGGGTTATAAAGATA